TTTTCATTTATTTTAATTTTATCCAAAACCATGTGCTCTTCATCTAGGATGGTGAAGTGGTTTTGGATTGGAATAGTGGTATTGTCTATATTCTTCTTGGTCGTAATGTTCTTAGCAGGATCTTTTGATTTATATTGTAAAACTTGAGTGTCGATGTACTTACCTGTGTTTGCATTGTATAGATTTACTGAGATACCTGGACCTTGGAGCTTCTCCTTCGGGGTGTGATTATTTGCCAGATTGTTTGACACATACTGTCTCTTGCCTTTGTTGAAGGTGACAGTTTTCCATTCGCCTTCTTGGTTTTCCTCGATTGACCTTGGTGTAGTAGTATCTGGGTAGGAGTTTAATTTTGTATTTTGCTGGATAAACTTAAACTTACATATGGTAGAGGGGTGTCCCATTCTTTCACATTTCATACATAGTAGATTTTTTCCTTCATAGTGAATATACTGCTTGTGAGTACCAATATAGATGAATGGTTGCACTGGGAGGTCCAACGGAATTTCCACACAGAGCCTAGCATAGCAACCCCTCATTGTTGTTGATGTACAAACATCAATTTTCAGTAAACGACCAATGGAGTTGCCAATATTTTCTAATATTTTTCCATCATAACACTCTGTTGGTAATTGTGGCAATCTAATCCATATTGCTGAGGTAGTTAGTTTTTCGTTGGTAGCCACAAAATTTGGTTTCCATCTGATCACAGAAAGGTAATGTCCATTTACAAACCATGGACCTTGATGAAGTGCTTTCTCCATATTTTTCTTTTTTTTTGAATTTGATGATAAAATAATCTTCTCCCAGATCAATTAAGGAGAAGATTTCTGTTGGTCTCCAAAGCTCTTGAATTTTCTTTTTTAAGTATTGGTGCATCATGCGTTTGCCAAACAGTTTGATAATGATGGAACATTGCCATGGTTCATAAATTCTTTGCTTATCCTCCTCCATAAGAGTGATCAATCCAATGCCATGAGTGGGGCAGTGTATTAAATTTGCTAGTGCTTCTCCTTCTTCTGAAAAAGATTCTGACAACTCTATGTTGGATTGGTTAACATTTGGGGTGAAATCCATATGGTCTGAAGATGTGACCATGTCACTATATGACGTTTTAGCTTCTCCACCATCCTGGTGTGTTGTAGATTGGAGGTTAATGTCGGGTGGTTTGGGGGGGGGGGTGTGTGAGTAGAGTTGTAGGTGGGTGTGTAGTGTAGAGTGATTGTTTAATTTACGTTCGTACTAAGGTTAGTCGTACGTCTTCCGTACGTTTACTCGTATCTAACTATTCTACTATGTTACGTATTGTTTTCTTCTTATTAAACGTAGTAATAGTAACTAAACGTACTTAGTACCTAAACGTAACGTAAAAAACGGTAAAAAAACGGTAAAAGGGTAAACGTTTTAAAGTTAAGTTAAGTTAGTAAAACGTAACCGTAAGTTTAAACCTACCGTTTAACGTTTACGTTTAAACGTTACGGTAACTTTAAAGTTACGTTTTAGTTAGTTAACTTACTTAATTACGTTACCGTTACGTTAAGTTAACGTTTTAAGTACGTATTGTTACTAGTTACTACGTTACACTTACCACTAACCGTACTTACCTAAACTACCCTACCCTACCCCCCCCGTACCCCGTACTACTAACCGTTACGTACGTTCGTTTTACTTTTACCTTTTACTTAACTTAACTTACCTACTTAACTACTTTAACTTCTTACTTTTAAACTACGTTTCGTAACGTTGTAACGTGTAAACGTCGTAAACGTACGTACGTACGTACGTACGTACGTACGTTACGTTACGTACGTAACGTACGTACGTACGTACTAACTACTTACTTACGTTACGTACTACGTACTACTACTACTACTACTACTACTACGTACTACTACTACGTACTACTACGTACGTACTACTACTACTACTACTACTAGTACTACTACACTATACA